GGTCTTTCCTGACCAAGTTTTGTTGCAAAAATGCCCCGTGAATCCTGATGACCTGGCTCTTGCTCTCACCAGCCTGATTTCCTCCCTGGTTGTCTCCTCATTGTTTCCAGAGTTGGGCTGCTACTTCTAAACACCTCCCGTATGCCAGACACTGAGCCAGGTACTTCATTCACGTGTGAAAATGCCCATGCACAGAAAGCATTATCCATTTCCCACGGGACCAGAGATGTTGAACGACTTGCCCCAGGCTGCTCTGGGTTTGCTGGAGGTGGCTGGTCAGTGTCTTTCCCAGGATGAATCCAGGCTGATGTGGACAGTTGTGCCCCTAACTTCAGGCAGCAGGGTTACCCTGGGTCACCGCTGATGGGGGAGATTCACTGGGCTGCTGCTGGTTGCTCAATGGGGACTCAGGCTGCAAAGTGCTGAGAATGTTGTTTAGCAGCACAAGTAATAACAACAACAACAACAAGAGTGATAAAGATAATAAATTTAATGATAGTTAGCATTTGCAGAACACGATATGCTAAGACCTGTTTAAAGTGCTGAAGAACAAAGATGTCTCTTTGAAGACTAAGGTATCCCTAACCCAAGCCATGGTATTTTCAGTCGCCTCATATGCATGTGAAAGCTGGACAATGAATAAGGAAGACCGAAGACTAGTTGATGCTTTTGAGTTGTAGTGTTGACAAAGAATACCGAAGGTACCGTGGACTGCCAGAAGAACTAACAAATCTGTCCTGGAAGAAGTACAGCCAGAATGCTCCTTGGAAACTAGAATGGCCAGACTTCGTTTCACCTATTTTGGTCGTGTTGTAAGAAAGGACTATTCCCTGGAGAAGGATATCATTCTTGGTACAGTGGAGGGTCCACGAAAAAGAGGAAAGTCCTCAACAAGATGGATTGACACAGTGGCTGGAACAATGGGCTCAGGTGTAGCAAGGACTGTGAGGCTGGCGCAGGACCGGGCAGTGTTTCATTCTGTTGTACACAGGGTTGCTATGAGTTGGAGCCAACTCAATGGCACCTAACAACAACAACAACATATGCTAAGAACTTTACATACATCCTCTCATTTAAAGGAGCTCTGGTGGCATAGTGGGTAAGGCATGTGGCTGCTAACCAAAATGTTGGTGGTTCAAACCCACCAGTTGCTCCACAAGAGGAAGATGAAGCAATCTACTCATGGAACGATTTACAGCCTTGGAAACCCAATGGCAGTCACTATGAGTTGGGATCAACTTGACGGCGGGGGGGGGGGGGGGTTTTTTTTTTTTTTTTTTTGGTTTTAGCATTTGTGGAACACTATATGCTAAGAGGGAGCTCTGGTGGTGCAGTGCATAAGGCATTTGACTGCTAACCAGAAGGCTGATAGTTCAAACCCACCAGTTACTCCTTGGAATGAAGACTGGGCAATCTACTTCCGTAGTGATATCGCCTGGGAAACCCAAGGAGGGGTCTGTTTGAGTTGGATCTGACTTGACGGCAATGAGTTTGGTTGATTTTGTTTTTTATATGCTAAGAACTTTACATACATCTTCTCATTTAATCTTCATTATAATCTTATGATGCAGTTCCTATTATTTATTCCATTTCACAGAGGAGAAAACTGAGGGTCAGAGAGGTTAAGTGCCCTTCCAAGGTCCTTCAATTAGTTAGTGGCAGAGCAGAGACTTAAACCCAGGTCCTGTTGATCTCAGCACCTGTACTCTTTCTTCACTAACAGGCTGGCTGCCTCCTTCTCTGAGGTACAGGAGGCACATGTTGTACATGCACAGTGTGGGCTGTGTGCTTGGACATACTGTGTGTGCTTGTGTGCATCAGGTTAGGACCCTATGAGGTTGGAACTGACCTGCACCCTCTCTTGGGGCTTTCTGAGAAGCATCAGGTCCTGCCGGTTTGTGGGATGCTGACCTGACCACAAGCAGCGAAGTGTTTCCTGGGAGGTAATGAGGGGCCATTAATCTTCTGTTGCACCCACAATTACCCAAATTGCTCACCTTATTGTGAAAAGTAGAAATGCAATTGAGTTGGTGCTGGAGGCATGTTCAAGGGAGGTGAAAAACACTCAAAGTAATTTAATTAACTGATGGCAAGTACATTAAGAGTAGTTCTGCCTCTGCCGTTATTTCTGATGTCTTTAAAAAGAGGACCAAGTAATGCACATGGATGTTCAGACAGATATGGCACCTGGTCTTGGTTCTGAATCAATTACCACTGGCCAAATGTACTTAAAAATTGATGCCTCCATGTCAGTAACTTGTGCTCAGTGCTTTTGTGCACACAAACCTGTGCACCTCAACACACACACACACATTCTATACTACATACCATACCACACACACTCCCACATTGGTCCTAGACCTTACAAACAGGACATTGTCCTCTCCTGCTGGGATCTCAAATAAGCCCTAGCCATCTCAGGTCCAGAGGACAAAGGAATCTGCTCATCCAGCATCGTCCATCAAGCCTTCACACCAGGGTTGCGCTGACACTGGCATTCAGAAATGTGTAGAATACAGGCTATGCTCACCATGGTGGGGAAATTGCAAGGAAATCATCCTGCCCAGTGTGACCAGGGTGGGAGAAGGGCACTTGACATCCAGATGCCTCTTCTTCCCATATGCGTCCCCCATGATCTCCAGGATTCAGCAAGTAATAGAATCCTGAAGTATCCCTGCTGGGACTGTCTCCTCACAAAGCAGTCTCAGACTTGGAGGGACCATCAAAGTCATGGGGTTTAGTGGCTCTAATTGGCAAGCAGCCACTTCACAGCATTGCTGACTACACTCCCTGCCTCAGCTTGTATGCCTCTAGGGATGGGGAGCTCACTGTCTCCTGTGATATCTCACTCCATTGCAGGGCAGTTATTTTATTTTTTAGCAAATTCATTTTCCATAGAGCAGTTCACATACACTTTGTCTCATGATATTGACCACAATGTAATAGCTCCCCTCCCACTTCCTCCCAATAGTTACCTCTTCCTGGTGTCCATCCCTCCATGCACTCCTGTCCCCTGAGCTGTCTCCCTGTGCATAAGCAGTCCTTCTTTCTCCTATGATTGTTCTCTCCAAGGAATGTATCTACCTCAGGTAAATGTTCAACTCATATGCCTGTCTTTTGCTTGGCTGGAAGCCACAGGAGTGGGTTCAATTCCAGACCTGAAGGGCAGCTAGGAGCCATAGTCTCAGTGGTTCCACCAGGCTCTATTGGGCCAGCAAACCTAGTCCTCCCTTTTTTGTTTCCAAATGCTTTTGAGTTTTGTTCCACATTGTTCTCCCTCTCTATCCAGGATCTCCTACATAGATCCCCTTCCAAGTGGTTGACAGGGGTAGCCGGGCACCATCTAGTTCTTCTGGTCTCACAGTCATATAGGCTACAGATTGGGTGGTGTACTAGCTGCTAAGACTGATTGCATCCATGAATTTTTGGTTTTCTTCATTCTTCTTTGCTCTGGACAAGGAGAGATCATTGCATCTAGATGGCAGCTTGCAAGTTTTAAGATCCCTACTCACCAAAGTAGGAGGTGGAACAATGTTTTGTGCAGTATGTTATGCCAATTGAGCTTGATGTCCCCTGCGACTATGGTCCCGAGCTCCCAGGTTCAACTACTCGGTTCCTCTGGGTAGCTGGCTGTGACCAAGCAGTGACTACAACCCTGCCTCTTGTCAGCTCTACTATACACTTGGGAATTCAGATCATACACATAAACTTATAGGACCATTGTCTGCCAAGCACAGGGCAGTCCTGATGGCTGGAATAGTGTTTCAGCTATGAAGCTCAAATTTATCTCCTTTTAGGAGTGTACCTTGGCTCTTTGTGCTAGTCCAATGCATGGGGTCACATAACCCAGTCCCTATCCCAGCCCTTTAGAGATACTGGCAGGAACTGACCACTCATCCCACAGATCTTCCTTCTCTGGCCCAAGCAACCCATGGCAGACCAGCTGTCCTAAGCCAAGGAGACCAGGGATGTTCCCTCTTCTGGCCTGAAAACTGTATTTCTACTACTATAGCCTGAGACCTATCTGACATCTTGGCAGCTCCCTACATGGGTGACATCATTCTGTCTTCTCACATAAACTTCTGGGAAGCCACATTACCTTTGTGCCAAACCTAGGCCAATAAATATACCTGAATTATAACATTTAACCCTCATAGCCCAGGAGAAGGGAAGTCCTGCTAATGTTTTATTAATTATAATATTTTCATACAGGTTAATTTACTGAGGATGAATGGGTTAAGAATTTGTTCAAAGTCAGAAACCAGTGCAGGCTGGCTGTGTTTTCAGGGAACAGGCATACTCCCTGCTTGTCATGTCAGGCTGTGTGAGATCAGCTGCTCTCTTTTCCACACACAACCACTCAACTCATCAAACCCACATCCCTCACCCAACAAAGAAGGGCCCTTCCACACCCTCACCTGGATACCTGTCCTCCAGCCTACCCAGAACAATAGCTCCCCTCTATCTTCTACAGAGAATGCCCCTTTCCCTCATGGTTAGATGTTCAAATCCTATCCAACTTTAAGGTCCAGCACTCCCCCCTGGGCTCCCCAGCCAGTCAGGTGTTCTTTTCTACTCAGGAGCTTCTGCCTCCTACTTGGTTGTACTACTCCGTTGGACTGAGGGCCATCCCATAAGGCATATGGTCTCCACTCGCACAGACCACACTTCTCCATGTCCATCCTCATGCACACCTCCAAATTTTGCTAATGCAGGCCCTGCACAGAGGCCCCCTGCCCTGCCCACCATGGCCACCCCCAGTCAAGACACTTTTTCCTTATCCTGGGCATGGCTACCAGGGTTTATGGCCACCACTCATCCTGCTCACTGCTTATGGTGGACTTGTATTTTCTGATACTTTCAGGCTGACAGCAGGCTTGAAAGGCACCAAGCATGGGATTTTACAACACTCCAGCCCTGCCATTGCCACCTAGCAACTAGGACAGCTTTCTTTTCCTAGGGGATACACTGGAGCTTGGAATAAATTCCAGGTGACTTACATTGATGTCTTCTAAGTCCAGGAAGTTCAGGGTTAGCCCATTGCGCTTCCAGACGATTGGTGGCCGCAGGTCTCCACGGACAGCACATGTCAGCACCGTACTCAGCCCCACAGTCACTGTGGTCATGCTGACCCTCTCCTCAGGAGAGAGGCTGAGCTGGACCACCTCTGCAGAGAAAATGGATAAGGCAGTCAGGTGCAGACTCAGGGGGATTTACTTGGGGGCAGGAGGAGAGGTCTTCAAGGTTCCCCCAAATTGTTCTCAACTAAAACCAAGCAAACCTGTTGTCATTGAGTCGATTCTGACTCATAGTGACCCTACAGGACAGAATAGACTTGCCCCATGGTGATTTCAAGACTATAATCTTTGTGGAAGCAGACTGCCACATCTTACTCCAAGGAGCAGCTGGTTGGTTCAAACCGCTTTTGGTTATCAGCCGAGTACTTATCCACTATACCACCAGGTTTCCTTTGTTCACAACATCCACTAAATTTGCAGACAGAGATTTTTCCAGGAAGGGGGACCACAACTTCTGTCAAATTCTCAAAGGGCTCATGAGTCAAAACAGGTCACGAGTCACAGCTCTAGTGTATGGGAGAACCATCTGGGCTATGGCTTTGTGAGCAGAGTTGAGGATGTGGGCTGCCAGGGCCACATGGGCCATCATGCAGACACCAGAGAGCTGGTTGTATCTGCCCTGCTTGGGGGTCCCAAGGCCTAATGAAGTCTGGGGCCTGCTAAGTGCAGTCAAGGTCTGCTGAGTGAGCCGACAGGCTTCTCATCCATCTGGGGGCAATTTAAAGGTTGCACTGTCTGAAGCCTGGGGAATGAACGAGCTGACCTTTGAAGGTTAGTTTCTGTCTGATGCTTCTCTAAACTAGGACTTGGATTTCTGCTCTGTGACCATTCATGGTAGCCTTTAATTTTTTGAAGTGTACTTCAGGCTGCACAAATTATTAATCCTTGCCATTTTATACTTGGTAACTGGCATTAAGACTGATCATTCTTCAGACAAATGGGGAGGGTCTAAAATATTTCCCTGCAATCATAGGCTTTTTGAAATTCTCAGGATTTCTGAAAAAAATTAACCAAACCCTGGCTGCTCAAATGTTGATATGGGGCCAAGCTTGGAAGGAGTTACTAACCTGCTGATGGGACTGTCTCCCCAAGCTTTGCCCGAGATCTGCCCACCCATGGGGCTTGGAACAGGAGCCAGTGATGGGGAGAGCTGAGGGAGGCAGGCTGGCTCTAAGTTGGAATCTATTCTGGGAGACCAGCCAGCATACTGGGAACCTAACTCACTCTTATCACTCCATTGGGACCTGGGGGGCCCTGACAGGTGTGTCCCACAAAAACTCTGTGTAAAGCAGAGTTGAGAGCTGAGCTCATGACTCAGTGGGACACTTGTCAGCTGTGACTGGTGACAGCAACACTGCAGGTAACTCATCTGTGCTCTGTACCTTCCTGGCAGTGTGTGTATGGCAGGAAGGGATGAGAAACAGCCGCAGGTGCAAGGCATAGCCTACTGGAGCCAATGAAGTGAGAACAGGTGCAGGAGGTCAGCTGAGTAGCAAAGCCCCTCCTCCTCCCCAAACACTAGCCCAGCCCTGGGCCTATGAAGATGACCAAGATATCCACCAGGTGCTTAATCAGGGATAGAGGGATGAAAAATCGACAAAACTGAGATAGAGAAGGAAGGGAGCCTGCCGGCTGGGGAGGGAGGTGGAGGGGACAACCACACGCAGGAAAACGGGACTCAAGCATAGGAGCCCTGTGAGTAAAGATAAGCACCGGGTGACTGATGCAGATGCAGCCAGCATGATATTTTACCAACATTGTTGTTGTTGTTGTTATGTGCCATCGAGTCGGCCCCGACTCATGGCGACCCCTTCTTGGGTTTCTGAGGCAGTGTCACTACGGAAGTAGATTGCCCCATCTTCCTTCCGAGGAGTGGCTGGTGGGTTTGAACCGCCAGCCTTCTGGTTAGCAGTCAAGTGCCTTAGCCACTATGCTACCAGGACATTAAAGCGATACATTTCAAGTTCCCTCTTCAGTCACAGTCTGCTTGCTGCCCTCCACCTCTGAGTCACCAGGGTTACTGCTCAGGGTAAGAGAAAGAGGCCCTGGCCCTATGTAGCAAGATCCAGGCTGGGAGAGGAAGTGAGGCAGGGGGAGAAGGAATTTACTAAAACGGCTTAACTCCCACTGTGCTCTGCTAGGGCCTAGCTTTTCAGACACACAGCCCAGAGCTCTCCTCGAGTGTAGAGGAGGTACCTTTCTCCGAGGCCTTTAGGTTCCACAATGTGTGGCTGTAAGGGGAATGGAATGACCCTTTCTGGTTCCGGAGGTTATGAAAACAAGAAGGGAGACACAGGAAGGATGAAGAGTGAGACTTGTGGTGTGGAGGTGAGGAGGGCCAAGGTTGGGTGACTGCCAGCATACTGGGAGCCTAACTTGTGGGCAGAGTGCCAGAGCCTACATGGAAGGTCCCGACTGCCTTGGTTGGGGAGAAGGCCGTAGGTGTATATACAGAAAATAGTGCCCCTGTACAAACATCTGACACCCATTTTTTAGATAATGTTACAATTATCAGCTCAAAAATAATGCTTGTTAATCTTTGATTTAACACATACAACACTACGTGAAAATTACAACTGCAACTTCTTTGCTTTCGCTGATGAAAACTTGTCTATGATGTGCTCTAAGTAATTTTTTTCCCCCAGTTTCTTCTTTTTCTATACTCAGTAGAGCAAGATCACACAGTCTGCCTTGACCACAGAGAGTCTCAAATACGACAGAAGGAGTTTTAACTTGCTGAATGATCTCTCACAGCTGGTGACGGAAACTTTGATGGTTAACAGAAACTGCTCAGTGGTGCCCAGGGCATGGGCCATACCTGCCATACCTTAGATATGCCTCTGGGTGAGGTGTTCTGCACCTCTGTATTCTAGGCCTGCAGATTGGACACCACCAGCATTGGGCCTGAAGGAATTGCAGCCAGACCTTGAAGGGTGCATGGTGCCAGAGAGGCTGAGGGAGGCTGAGCTGAGGGCAGCATTCTGACCATACAGGCTGAGGGTACTGGGAGCAAGAGCACACCAGTGGGGCTCTCAGCCAATGGCAAAGGGCAACCAGAGGTCCTTGCCACAGAAAGCAGAGGCCTCCATGCTGCTTCCCTCCACTCAGACACCAGCCTGGAGAGGGGCTGGAACAAGGGATGGGAAATGGAGACACACATGTTTTCCTCAGAGAGTTACTTACCTGGAACGCTAAAATTCTCAGCTTGGAATAAGCTTTACTGATAATTTAGTTGCATTTTTCTCCCAGTGGCCCACGGATGGGGTGTGTGAAGTCAGGTCAGTTACAAAAAGAAACCATATGTTCTCTGCATGTCTGAGTTCCAGGTGGACCACAAGGAAAAGACCAAATAGGCAGTTAGGGAGGGACACCTGGAGGAGGCAGGGCTTCTTCTCCTGGGTCCTAGAGCTCCAGTTTACAGTAGTGGTTCCTGACCAGCTGCATCACATTGAGTGTTTGATAACAGACTCCTGCCCCACTCCCCCATGACTGATAGACGCAGGTAGTGGTGGTGATGGGCATTTGGATTTTAACAAGTACTCCAGGAGGTTCCATGGTACCCGAAGGCCTGAGAGCCACTGCCTTAAAAGGTGTGTGTGGGGGTGAGGGTCCTGGTAGATGGAAAGGAGGAGTATAGGTGGGGGATGGGGAGTTAGGCTGGGGTCTTGGGGGCCCTGACTACTAGGCTAGGAGCCTGGCTCTCATTTAGAATGTAGGGTCTACATGAAATGTAGGACCCCTTCCTCATGGGGCCGCAGAATCATATTTTTCAAAAAAAGGCCTATAAAATGGGGCTAAAAAAACAAACCAAAGACAAAAAACAAAACAAAAGGCAAGGAGATGGCATGCTGCCATGCCCCTGCCTGCAGGCTGTGACAGCTGGGGGCTGCTCCCTCTCTGGGTACATCGCCATCGTTTGTATGTACGAAGACGGACATTTTACACGGGAAAAACTCATGCAAGATTGGAATGCACGGATACTGACAGAATCATCATCATTCTGCTCCTGTCAGCTACACAAATATTAACCAAACAGCAAATATTTGGATCATTTAAAGTTTAATTAAATGAATGTTTTATTGGATTTAATTCATGTCAATATTCCCTAGCTCCTTTTAAAATTCTGAAGAGATTTATGGCTACTGAGCCCTCTTTTCCCAGCCTCACTCCCAGTTATTTACTGTTCAGCAAGCCTGCCCTGGGAGGCCCTACTGCTCTGCTAAGTGAGCAGACAGGACGAAGTAAGAGACCAAAGAATGGCTTGGGCTCCAGTGATCAGGGCAGGACACTGGCCCAGGCTCGGGACACCTGGCCTCCAGGCCTGGCTCTACAGGTGACACACTGAGTGGCCCTGGGAAGGCCCTTCACCTGCTTCTGGGCCTCACTTTTACCACCTGTAAAATGAGGGACTGGGCCAGGAGGGCTCTGGGGGCCCATCCCACTTTTAGGCCTTGAGTGGGTGATTCTAAGTGGACATCCCTGTGGACCCTCCATCCAGGGGCTGTCTGCTGTGCCTCCACTTACCCCCAATGTCATCTGCCTCTGCTCTTTGCCTACTTGCCTATGATGGTACAAGTGACATCTCAAGTGGTAGTACTAAGAGCTCTCAAGCCCCACTGGGGCTTTTCTTGTAACATTGCTCTCCCTTTCCCTCCTCCCCATAACAGGGCTCGGGTGCTGGCTTAGGCCCTCAACAGCCTCCTGTGTGATCACCCCTTCAGTTTTCCCTGCTACCTGAGTCTCCTTGTCACATCTTGCCATACATAGTACATCATAACCCTTTTAAAAGCCACAAGTGGCTCCCCATTACCGTCACCATGTAGAATTCCGAACAGTTCCCGATCTTGTCCCCATTTTCTTCTCCAACATCTTTCACCACTGTGCTGGCTGGTCTCCCATTGCATTCACTTGTTTGTACCTCAGCACATTCTTGCTCTGCACCTTCCACTGTATTCTGAGTGCCTCACACTTGTGGCCCCCCACCTGCGAGATGACCTCACGGGGCAATTCTGGGACCCCAAAGTTTTAATGTTCAGGAACATGTGGGCAGCAATTGGGTGAAGAAGATTGAAAGACTGTCGTGTGTTTG